GTAGCAGCACCACAGAATAAAGATTAGTGTGTTGGATGGAGCAGACCAGATGGTTGTTTATAATGAATCCCATAACAGATCTGCCCTTGTGGAATTTGTTCAAGGTACTAATTTCCACATTACCAGCCTGAAAGGTTGACTCAAGGAGGCTGTCTCTTTCTGATCAGACTCATGAGAGACTAAAGTTCGTGAGCTATAAGGTCAGTTCATGAACAGTGACCACTCCTGATACGACTGTTTCCAAAACGTTGGTGTTCTTTGTGCCCTCTACCACAGGCACCTCTTTCTGTCCTGGCAGTTACTGGGAGAGGTGAGTGGTAAACATGGATGGTTGTGAGGGATACATCATCTAGACAGAAATCTGAGGAATCCTCTGAATAAATGACTTCTCTGATTATCAGGAGGATGCAGGATTAACACAGACCACTTCTGACTTCTGCATTTTCTCGTTCTCATTCTCAAAGTTAGGGAGTTCAAACTATGTTCTATAAGACTCTAGGGCTCTATGTAAGAACTTATATTTTTAAGAGTTGGATCCTCTTAGAAAGAAAACATAATCTTAAGACTGCAGTTCTCACTTAGCCATCCCTCCCTGTGATAATACAGTCTGAGCTTCTCTAATCATATTCCAGTCCTGTCTCCTTGTAATGACATTTTTTTCAGATCTCCTGAATGGAGAGTTCTCACATCGTTCAGTCACTCATGAAGAAAGTTACAGAAGGCTGGCCATTAGGGGGAAAATGTAGTAAATGTAGTTGTGTAGTTTTCACTTCTTTAGTTCTCATTATATACATTCTTTCTGGTTTTTGTGTGTTTTTTGTTTTGTTTTTTTGGGGGTTTTTTTTGCTTGGGAGATTTTGAAAAATACGAAGGATTTTACTTTTTATTAATAGGAGCTGTCATAGTGTGTTCTAAATCTTTGAGGTAGAGACAGATATAGAAAAAAAATTACATTTATCTGTAATCTTGAGAGGAACACCTATCTAAAATATACATAAATGGGCAATTCCATATTTGCAGCAAATGAATCAATTTTTAAAGAAATACAAAAGTTTTTAACTGTAGGATATATATATATAAATTTTCATGCAAAAAGTCATCTAGATTCAGAAATTACAATATAAAACAAGAAAGTTTATCAAGTGAAATTCCTACATATAAAAATCATTTTTTCCACCTCTAGAAAAGAAGCATGTATAAAGAGGCAAAGCATAAGAATCTTTTATTCTATCATTCAGTTAAGTTCATTTTTTATTTATATAAAGAGGAGCAAAATAAACAGTGCAGCTAAAACCTACCCCCTTGGAGTTTACGTTACAGGAAAAATGAAATCATGACTAACACCCTGGTGGAATTTCTTACTTTGCTTCAAAAGCGATAGAATATTAAATCATGATTCACTGGTTTCTTAAAATATCCTTTAGTACTCTAGGGAAAAGGATAAAATAGCCTGTTCTCTGATTTTTAAAAGAACTATTTGTTCATTCTCAAATGCATTTTATCTAGGAGTGTTCTTTTTTTCCTGTCATTTCTGCACTTTAAAAAAAATTTTTTAAAGCCCCCTAACATATATAATACCCTGAAAAAACTAGAAGGTATTTATTTATAACTGAGCACGTCTATAGAAACCCATGATAATTGTTTCTTATATAAATATGCCTTGGGCAAACTTCAACTTGTTCTTAAGAACCGAAAGATTAAGCCTGCTGGAGCATTTTATTCAGACACAAAATTTGCATTGTCTACCCTTACATTTCCTGGCCTCTCTTCTTTCTGCATCTCTCTCATTTTAGCTCCATCTTCCATTCTCTTACTTAGAAAACATGACCAGAGCTGGTCAGACCTAACACAGTCAGAATCTCTGGAGGAACATACATCCATCCCTGAGTTCTCCTGTTTCGCATAATACATTCCCAACACCATTGTTTTACTGCTTTTAGGATTACTGTGCATGTTCTCATTCTAGATAACCGTAGGAAATATTTGTTGCTTTGGGTAAATCAGTATATAGCCCAGGCGAGAACGTCATGCCTTTCTTTGAATCTCTGAAATGCCTATTACTCCTTTCAGGTAAATATTTAATAACTAGGAATTAATTTGTACTGGGGACAACTATTTTCCAAAATACAATCAGTCTGTACTCAAAAGACTAGCTATCAGTTAGTACAAGCATTGAGTTTATGCTTCGACTTTTTGAAGATAAATGATGCCTAAATAGGAATATAAAATATTCGAAATTGGCAGTGAAGATAGAAAATGTCATTCATGAGTGTTTGTCCATATAACTCAAGATTTCTCTGAGGATTCTCCATGTTATGCAGAAGATCATACAGAATTGTGATCCAACACAGGATTCCTATTTTTTGTCCACTTTTTTGACAGAATAATCTATTTACCCCTTTTCATTTCTATTTTTTGTTCTTTTTTAATTATTTCATTATTATCATATTTTATATTACATTTAATCACATGTATCTTTACAGTGTATTACATTTCTTTTTCCAGTACAATAATCATGCATATCAGTTAATACAAAGACATTACTATCCACATCATCATCATCAAATAGCTTTTTTATCATTTTTTTTCAGATTATTATTATTATTGATTCTCATTATGTTTTGGGTTTTTTTTTTTTTTTGGAGAGGTTATTGCTACAGGGTGCATGTGCTCACAAGACAGACAGAGAGAGACAGGGAGACAGAAAATGAGAAATTACCCCCCAGGGGGGATGACTGTGCTGCAATCCCTTCTCCTCCAGTCTCCTCTTGGGATCTTGGGCATGCACACACATGCGCCCGGCTTGAGTTTAAGCCACCGGGTCCAGTACTCAAATCGCAGTCAACTACATGGGAGTCCAGCGACATAGCCATTATATTAACTGCTGGTCCCTATGCTCATTATGTTTTAAACATTCAATCCCTATATATCATTTGGCTTGTAAAGAGATTTCACCCAACATGAAATACTCCTCAGACCAAACCAGTTGAACATATCATCATGTTATCATCAACAGGTCATAGACTATTTCTGTGTCCCACTAATGTCATGCCTCTCTATTTGTTCTCGTTCTAGCCTTCTCTATACTCTTTCCTTCTCCTTCCCCATTCCATTCTCTTCATTATCCATTACTATTTTCATTGCTTTTATGCCTTCTGATATTTTGATCTCTACCAAAAAAGTTCCAATAGTATATAGTAAGTGGATACATGAAGTACCTTTCCTTCATATTCTGACTTGCTTCACTCAGCAAATGACATGGTCTTATTGTTTTACTATGGCTGAATAGTATTCCATAGAGTATATGTGCCACACTTCTTCATCCATTCATCTGTTTGTGGACATCCAGTTGGTTCCATGTCTTAGTGATGATGAATAATGCTGCAATAAACATTGTTGTGCAAGCACTAATCTTACGAAACTGTGACAATTTAGTCATTGTGAGAGATTGAATTTCAATATTTTTAAAAGAAATAAGTTGAATTATCAATATCAATAAAATCAAACATCTCTGAATCCCTACTGCTCGCATGGCATTCAGCTACAGGATACAAGGAAACATGTAAGACATAAGACACATACTTACCTTCTGTATACCTGTAAGTAATTTAGGAAATAAAATTCAAAGGAAATAATAACTGCATTATTACAGTTACCTGCACTCTCGCTCCCAAGTAGATCCTGGGTTTTTAGGAACACTAAAACTGATATTCAAAATAATACACTTTTCATTTTCAAACTTTATAAAAAGGTAACACAACCAGCTGCTGTGTTGTAATGGTAATACAACACTCTGCAATGCTAAGGCCACATGATAAAGTCCCAAATTCATATACTGAGATTGCCTTGTACTCTCGTGCCTATAATCCGGCTGGCTATAGGGTTAAGGGTAGATCACAGAGTGAGGACCTGGATAAGGTACCTCTGTCTCTCTGTCTCCTTATCTCATGGAAGAAATAAAAAGACTTTAAAAAAAGTTTTTAATGTGATTCATATATGGTTCATATCTTTATTCAAGGCAAGCAAATGTATGAATGAGACAAGAGGACTCTATTTGTCAATAAAGCGGAAATCAGCCAGGATTTCTGATCCAAAATATTTCCATAGTTTAAGAGCCAGAATGGGGTGACCATTCTTGGCAGAAAGGAATACTGGGACAGTGAGCACTTGATTTTCCATTCTCTATTTGTGAGACATAGCAAATGAAGGAGATATTTGGGAGTGATTTTTGTATGTCCAGGCAATAGGGCCTTCCCTGAGAAGAAGTTCAAGCTCTCTGCTTGAACTTGTGTCATTTTATGTTTCTACATTTTACTTTCTTTGCCTTTTGGAATACTTGCATGGTATACTACCAATTTTAAAGATAGATGTTTTCTTCTCTTTTTCTATTAACTAAATCAATCTCTGTTTAGTTCTTTCAGTAAAGATGCTAGAATTTTTTGTTTCTTGAGTAGGCAACACATATTGACTAGAAAATATAATACTATTGTTTATGCATAATTATCTTGGCTAGCATTACCCATACGAAAGAACATAAACCACCAGAAGATTCCATGAAAGATTTAGTAAAAGTACCCTATCTTATCTTTTACAGTATGAGAGCATGTCATGTAAAGATCTATTTGCAAGAGACCTCATCAACCTTGACTTGGACATTCAGCACCAAAATGTAGCACCTGCATATCAAATATAGAATTAGCAATTATACTACTTGATGCAATGTTTAGAAAAAAAATAGTCCATTAAAGCAATAGGAATTCAAGCAGAATTCTCTGTAGACAACATCATCATGCAATTCTGACTTCACAATGACACGAAATTTTAAATGACAACTGTGCTAACTCAGGGAGCAACAAACTCAGGCCAGGTTTAAATTTAGTAACACTGCTAGTTTACTGAAAATAACCTTCTCCATAGCAGATTCTCTCTGAAGTACGGGTACCTAACCACTTGTTTTTCTGTTCTGTTTAGAGATTATAGGTGCCCAGTGGCTTCAGCTTTGGTGTCTTCTCTTGTCAACAGTACTTCTGGTGTCCACCTCAGGAATCTCCTTGTCCAGTCTTTAAAGACTTGAAAATTAGAGCATCTACCACATATATTCTTCTTGAGAGTTTCCATCACAAATGTTCAAAACTTTCTGAAGAAGCATAAAGACTTGAAGGTAAGTTTGGAAGTAACTCACATTCTTGTGTGACTCTTAATTATTCAATGCAATTTAATAAAATATGCAAAAGTAAAACAGGTACTGAATGTAAGAAAAATAGTCACTTGTACATAGTTCCACGTTTAAAAAGAGAAATAAAGAAAATACAATGTTTAAAGGTTTGTTATATGTCATGTAAATGTAAATTCATAAAAAGCACACTGATATTTGTTGATATAGCACCTTGATATTTGTTGGTTCACCATAAAGCATGATATGCAGCGATTCTCAATCTTTAATGTGCATAAACGTCCCATGAAAGTGAGGGGGTGGTCTTTGAAATGCTGATTCTTAGGTATGCTTCACAAAAACTTAGATTTGCTAAGACCAGGATGTGGCCCAGGAATCTGCACTATTACAGTTACCTGCACTCTTGCTCCCAAGTAGATCCTGGGTTTTTAGGAACACTAAAACTGGCATTCAAAATAAAACACTTTTCATTTTCAAACTTTATATTCAGCTTAGGTATTTATGTTGCTTGTTTTCTTTAGTCCCGAATAGGTAAAGGAGGCTTTATTTTTAGCACAGAAGTGCTAACGTAGTGATTCCCTTTTGACAGCCCCAATTTTAATTATCAGTTCTCATTAATATCTCTTTTTACAGTTCAAGAGGATGAACTAATACCTAGGCGTCCCTGTCTCTCTTCCATTCCATGTAATGTTTTAATGTATCTAGATGTATAAGGTTCTTGCATCTAATTATAAGAGGACATATCTAAAAGATGATAACAAAGTATTACCAGGGCTGGCTAAGTATTTCTGTATCTTTTTCTTGTCATTCTTAGATTTCAAAAGAACAGATCTGCCTAATACTTTTTTTGTTACGCTTCTTTCCTTTGCGGATAAGAATATATAAACCATGTGATATATTTATGGCAGGTTACATGTATATGAAATGAAAAATCACTTTATCTTATTCTGTTTTCTATATTTAGTTTAGCAACGTTTTTTTCCTTACTTGTAATTTTAGTTTATAAAAGGTTATTTTTTTTATGCCAGTGAAAGAAGTGACTATAGTAGGGGTGGCTATATTCAGATCTTACATTGTGATTCCTTAAAGGTTGATGTGATACTAATTTGATCGTGAAGCATGAAATTTTTAATCGAATCCTTTGAAGTTTTAGGCTTTTAAACATTTTGTCTCTTTATCAGTCTTTGTATTCACTGTTTACATTGTGTGGAATTTCCTGTACATAAAATACTAAAAGTCAAAAAATAAACCCTTCATTAAAAAGAAGTATATCTCTATCATGCCAGTTAGCTATATGTTGGCTATTAGTGTTACACACAGAAAACTGAATATAATCATATGCATAAAATAAGGCAGCATTTTTTTTTATCAAAAATCAAAATTAAAGATTTACAGAACCAAATTAACTACAATAATGAAATTTCACATGTATTGTTACTGGAACTGTTCTCAAAGGTCAGATTGCCACACCTGAACATAAAATCCTAAAATTTGTAGTGCACAAGTTTATGGTTGTAGAAAATTCCCAAGTAAGACTTTATAAAGCTTTTAGTGTCAATATTCTACATTTAAATTGCAAAAAACACTCTCTTGCTCTTTCTTTTCTTTTTTTTTCTTCTTGTTTTCTTTTTACCTATAGAAGAGCAGGTGGAGAAAGAGTGGAATTGTGTCCTCAGATGAATCACATTTATTATCACTGGCATTTTTATCAGACTGTTCGTAAATTGTGGTTCCCTAAGGAAAACTTACAATGTGATTTCAGGGAACCTTAAGTGAAGAAGTCTCAATACTCAGGAAGTAAAATATGCAGCAAGAGAATAAATTACAGAAACTTTATAGAATCATAGAAGCATAAAGTTTTACAGCAGAAATGTACCATTGAGATCTTCCTGTCTGATCCCCTCCTGCATAATATTCTTTTCTCTTCTAAGCTAGGCATGTGAAAATCTAAAACAAAGAGCAATAAACAACAATCTGGTCAGATTTGACTTATTAACAAGAAGTTAGGCAAGTGCTTTTCAATAATGATTATTTGGTTAAGGAAGGTAGAAAGAAATTTTCCTCCAAGATAAAAGTTGAAGAAGTAGAGAAAATACCCAAGTACTTATCATTGAATTTTATTAGTTGGCTTTATTGAGTTGTCTGTGGATAATCTTTCATGTCATTAATCGAGAAATTAAAACAGCAAATTTTGGGTTCATTCAGGCCAGATCACCTTTATGTGGAAATACGATATTTAGAGAAAATGAAAATACTAAAAGAAAGATAGAGTTTTAGAACAGGATTATCTGGGACCATCATTATAGAACAAAGTCGATATAAATATATCAGGAATGTTTGGGAGTTTAAGTGATTTTTTAAAAAAAAATTAGTAATTTTGTTTATTATTATTATTATTTAATTTGACCAGAGAGTGACACCAAGAGAGAGAAAATTAGAATGCAAGCCACCAGGTCCAGGACTCAATCAGTAGTCAGCCATGTGGGCGTCTAGTGCCTTAACCACCACGCCACCTACTGGCCTCCCCTAAGTGCTATTATGAAAGCTGTGAGATATACAAAATGACTAAAATGTTTTGATTGTTCTCAACTTCAGAAACTAGCAGGTCATTATAATTTATCTAATAGAATGATAATTATTGACTCAGAAAAATATTCATAATAGCCTATAAATTAAAACAGGAAGTTACAAAACCATGTTATGGTGTGGTCCCACTTGTATGACAAATATTCCAGATGCATGAAAGGAATCAAAATATTATTTAAGTAAAATAATATCAATGGTTACCCTCGACTGATAAAATTATGGCTGATTTTAATTTCTCCTCAGGGTTTTAAAGACTTTTTTTTCTACAGTATGTATTATTAATGTAACTTTAAAAGATCTCTAAGTGCCTGGGAAATATTCACTTTTCCCAATGGAAAATTTACTTTGATAAAACTATAAGGGAGTATTGCTAATAGTTGTTTAAAATTGCCTTAAAGAAAGGCTCTTTTATAAGTACGTTCCATTAGGTCAAAATAATTTTTAGACATAATTCTTTATTGTGGAATATTATAGTAGAACAAAATTCTCCATGCTTTCCCCTGATAATTTCAAATTCTGACAATTAACCTGTGGAAAGACCTTAATTTCTTGTGTCAGATAATTCCAATGTGCTTTTAAGAATTTCTAACTATAACGGTTTATTCCATTTGGAGGATAATTTTATGTGTTTGGTTACATTAGTGTTAATACGTCTTTGTTCTTTAAATCTCTAGTGTAACATACGGTTAGACTCACCATTATTACTACCAGCTGCAGTTGGCCTGTGATTTTTATTCATTCTGTCTGAATCTAAAGTAATTAGCTCTTTAGTGTAATGACAATATTTGTTAATGGGTTGTTGGGGCCAAATTCTGCTGTTAGAGTGGGTGGTGTATTTGAAGATAGAATCTGGCCCTTATGTTTTAAGCATACACTGTGTAATTTTATTTCAAAATGATAGCTTAGAGAGTTTGGGGTAAGTAAACTAAATGTGTATTTATCTCAAGTTTCTCATTTTCAAGAAACAGGAAATTAAAATGACAATTTATGTAGATGAACAGAAAACTCAATGAAAGTTCTCTGACACAGCTACCCTGTGTATTTTATTTCATAGATAGAAAGTAAAATGCAGTGATCATTATTTGACAAGTTTTGGATAATTCTAGTATGTGATGGGGCTTACACCAAGTCTTTGAGGTACAATGCAACAGTTTAATCATTGTATTTTTGAAGGAGTTAGTGAAGTGGAAAGAACCTCGGCCTTCTTTTATTGGCCTGAACTTCACAAAATCTCTTTTCCTTTCCCTGCACCTCAGTCTGTTCACTTTAAAATGAGGTTTTTGCAACAGATGATTCAGTGGTCTCTTAGAACTAAAACATGCTTTAAGAGAGCTCAGTGAGGAGCCCTATCATTTACACAAGGCCAGTAAAGAAAATGCAGTGACTAGAACTAGCTGAATACATAAAACATAAGTATACTAAAAGATATTTTGAAGGCATTTATGTCTTAAGACTTTTTCTTCAGTGACTTGTTTCTTTTATCCTGGAGAAATATTTGAAAGCATTTATGTATAAGAAGTGTTAAAGGAGAAGAATTATTGGCAAAAACAAACTAGTGATAGTCGAGATATCAATGAATAGAACACCACTAGAAATATGAAGTCATCCTCATTGTGGGAAACAAGGGCTTTATACCTAGCCAAACTGTCCTTCAGAGTGTAAAGGCTAGTGGCAAATATTCTGAACATACAGTAACTTAGGAAATATTATCCTGAGTCCTTTTTTTTTTTTTTTTTTTTGAGAGAGGTTTTTGCTATAGGGCATATGCACTTGCCAGACAGACAGAGAGAGACAGAGAGACAGAAAGCGAGAAATCACCCCCCAGGGGGGATAGCCATGCCACAGTCCCTTCTCCTCCATTCTCCTCTCGGGATCTTGGGCACGCATGCACACGCGCCCGGCGTGAGTTTAAGCCACCGGGTCCGGGACGCGAACCGTGGTCAACTACGTGGGAGTCCAGCGACATAGCCATCACGCTAACTGCTGGTCCCCAATCCTGAGCCCTTTTTAAAGCAACTGTTAGGTTGTTGAAAAAGTCATGATACATTTTTACATGGAAAAATATGTCATGACTTTTCCAACAATCCAATATTAGAAGACAAGCTCCATCCAATCAAAAAATGACTATAAAAAGCTACTGCAAAAAACTGATTGTGAACGTCGAATATAGTTAACTCTAGAACTAAATCTAATATCGAGATTAGGGTAACAAAATAGAACAAGTAAGTATAATGCCCTGGCAACAAAGAACTAACCAAATTGAGATTACACAACAGAATAGTGTGCATGTGCTTGCCAGAGAGAGACAGAGACAGCAAGAAAGTGAGAAATCATCCCCTGAGTAGGTGACCATGCCACAATACCTCCTGGGATTTTAGGCATGCACTTACATGCTCCTGGCG